ATTGTTAGTGTGAAGCAATGATTTATTTTTAAGTATGCTTCGTTAACAACTATAAACGTAAGATTGATTGTGTCGGTTTAACCGTATGTTCTTTCACTTTCATAAAAAGCCCTTTTCAGGGCTGCATATGTTTCTACACAAAAACTGTGTGTTTCTTAGAATATAACAAACGTTTAACGAGCGAGTTTAGATGTATGGTAATATCATGAGATAACAAAGAAAATAAATAACAAAATATAAGATCGAGCTAGATCTTATGGAAGTAGGTACAACGGTCCAATGGCAAAAATATAATCCTATACCTTGAAACGAGCAATTCTATATATATATTATATTAGCTCGGTCATCCGGGTACTAACTTTTAAGTAGGCCGGTGTAGGTTTGCCCATGTAATAATATGTTTATGATCTAAATAAACTTTACAAGCTTATTCACACAAACACGACCAAAACATAAAGTTTTCTATGAAGAAACGAGAGGTAGACGAATAGACAAATATTTAGAAACGAAAGTTGGTTAGATATCCATCCATAATCTGGATGTCCTGTTAATGTCCCACGTCTCCACACTTCATAGCAAGTTTGAAGAAAACCCCCGTTCATGAACTGAGGATTATCATATTTATGAATTGAACTCTTTAATAGTAATTTAACTCTTAAGTAGTAATTTTACTTTACGAAGATTCCTATGCTCACTTTAGCAGCTGGGGGAGTGCCCTGAAATAGAGGAGATACGAGAAAGGAGTTTTAGTGGTACATATACAAGCCTGTGTCTTAAGGGTGGAATACCATAATTAGTAGTCGCTAATACTAGACAATGCTTAACTAAGACTCGACTTTAGATGTCGGTTAGTTCCGGTATTCGACGACGTGTTCTTTTTTTTAATTAAAAATGGTCTCACTCTTGACCTAAGGGCAAAGATGAGATCTATAACGGAGTGAGTTTGCCCGGGAGAAGCCTGTTCACACGAACTTTGAATAAGTTCAGGATATACGCACTCGGAAAAACCGACGCCGGCAGGGTATTCCAGTCCTTGGCTGTGCACATTATAAAAAATGACTTTTTAAAGCACTTGCGAATGTTTGGAATGACAACCAAGTGCGGAAGGTAACCTCGAAAAAAGTCCTCCTCGCCTCAAATCCTCGTGACGTGTCAACATGATTAAGGATTAGGCAATTAAAAATTTGTTACATTACATATCTACTCCAAAAATAATATGTGTCTTAAAATGTACACTAAATAAATAAATAAATAAAATAAAACCTTTAGTACGTCTGATACTCCGATAGGATAATGAAGATGGCAGTATGAGCTTATGAAGCTCATTGGCACACTCTCCGAAGTACAACTATAGAAGACCGGCAAACTAGCAACTTGGCGGCGGTATGCTAAATAAATAAACTAAGCTTTAGTTTTCACCAGTTTTTTGTCGCCGGTAACTCTCTATGCTCTGCGTTCCACTTAGTTGAGTGCGGCAAGTTGATATTTTGCTTAGCCATCTCATAGGTACTACAATATTCCATGCGCGTTCGGACTTGAGCTTTGTTCCCGAGAAATATTGGCACAGCCGATGTAAAAAGAATCACCAGTGCTGTCGTTCGCAAAGTAATGAAAGTTGCTGGTTGGTATCATTGACATGCAGAAGAAACAGCATAGGTGATAGCATGCAGCCTTGGGAATCGCCAGCATTAATAGGCTTGTAATCGCAGTATGAACTTTTTATCCAAAAGGCTAGGGCGTGCCAAACTCTGTCGAAGGCCTTCGAAACATCAAGGGAAACAGCAAGTGCTTCCCCGCTTTCTCGAGTGCCTCGCCTAATACATGCCTAATACATGCTTCTAGCGTATGCCACACATACGCTAGAAGCTCCCCAGCTGACCGATTTCAGCGAAACCCGTATTACCGATCGCTAATGAGGTCATTTTGTTCTAGGTATACCACTAAACGGTCTTTCAACATGCGCTCCATAATCTTGCAAAGTATAGAGGTAATTGAAAATAATAATGTACTACAAACCTTGATGTTTCAATATGAGAGAAAACTAGTGGTCCAATTGCATAATTTCTTGCCAAGCACATAGGTAGGGAGATTTGAAAGAAGCGCTTCATGGCAAATCCGATCGAAAGCCTCTGCCATGTCCCAACTTAGGGCCAAGGCCTCTCTCTTGGACCCTACTGCCTCCGCTGATCTTTGAATTCAGGCAAACAAGATCACGTCATCACCAGCTGAGCGAACCTTACGAAAATCGTATTGATGGTCACTAATTTGATCCCCCTCAAAGCATTTCATGCGCTGACAGCTTATAACGGATTGCATATTCTATAACAGCTAACACTACAAATTCCAATAACAGCTGTTTGAAAATAACCAAGCGTGGAACTTTAGCACATCCCTCCTACTAAGCAATCAGAGAGTTCGGCAGTGGACTTTTGGTAGACAGTAATGGAAATATAATAAAATATTAGGGCAGCGCGTGTTATTAAAAGCACCAGTGCGCAGCAGTAGACGACCGCAGGTTCATAAAGATCATGATGATGATATTTCATGTCATATTCATTACACTTCTTTGGTAATAATAAACTTATAAGTTCAGCAGTTTCCACTCTATATCTATACTTATAATAAATCTGTAGAGGTCAATTCTGTACATGAAATATATTTCCAAAATAACTATCAGGGGGTGATTAGTGATCGATACTGATGCCAAAAATGCAAATAGTAAAATTTTTGTCTGTCTGTCTGTCTGTATGTTCGTTATAGAAACAAAAACTACTCGACGGATTTTAATGAAACTTGGTACAATCATTCTTCATACTACTGGGCAGGTTATAGGCATCACGCTACGATCAATAGGAGCAGAGCACTGAAGTTAAATGTTGGGGAAACGAGAGAAATTACTCCATTTTTTAAGCTTCCGTCGCGTGTGCAGCCTTAATGGTTTAAAGCTACACAGAAATCATGTATAACGGAAATGTTCTCCTGCGATGGGAAATGTTCTCCCATCAGCGACCTCAAGGCCATGGGCAAACTTTTCGAACGAGTTATTCTCGTGCGCATGAGGTGCCATTTGTTTCCCACAGACGGCGACCCTCTTGTCATCCCTCAACAATTCGGGTTTCGAGCCAAACACTCGTGCCCCCCGCAAGTTCACCGCATAGTGGAATATATCCTCAGCGGTTATTACTCTCGTCGTTAAAAGACCATCGCGGTCTTTTTCGACATTGCCAAGGCATTCGACAGAGTCTGGCATGAGGGCCTTATCTACAAATTGTACGACTTAGGCCTCCCTGACCACCTCGTCCGCCTTGTAGCCTCCTATTTGAAGGATCGTACCTTTCGTTTTAGACACGAAGGCACGCTATCCTCTACTCGTCAAATCATAGCCGGTGTCCCTCAAGGCTCTGTGCTTGCCCCCCTCCTATGTATACTATTCACCAACGACATCCCTATCCCGTCGAATGGTGTTAAACTAGCCCTCTTCGCAGATGACACATCCCTTTACTCTAAAGGCAACTCACTGCCACAGATTCGGAACAAGATCCAAAAGTCAGTTAACGACTTAGGAGCTTGGTTCCAAAAATGGCGTATCGACGCGCAAAAATGGCGTAAACCCGGAGAAGAGCTCCGCCGTTTGCTTCGAATATAAACGACGCTGTCTCACCGCCACTCCGCCAATCAGGATGTTAGGAACCCCTGTGCCATGGCAAACAAAAGCTAAATATTTAGGCGTCACCCTTGATGCAAGGCTCACTTTCGAGCCTTGCATCAAGAGGGACCCGCCATTTTTCATGGGTAGGCTCAAGAGCATGTTGGGCAGACACATAAAAAAGGCCCTCCGCAACAAGCAAACCCTATATAAGGTCTGTATACGACCAACGCGGCCCCCATTTTCGCACATGCTAAACCCAAAGTTATAAATGAATTTCAAATAGTTCAAAATCTATTCTGTCGTAGGGCCACTAACTCGCCCTATTATGTCCGTAAAGTCGACCTACACCGAAACTTAGAGCTCCCAACAATCCAGCAGTTCCTTAAATCACTCTCTGAGAGATTTTTCAAAGCCTGAGTCCCACACGAATCATCTCATACGCGAGACAGCTGCCTATGCAGCCCCTCTCCACCCTCGCTATAGTGTGCGCAGACCGAGAAACTCTCTCTCGGACCCCCCCAACAAGCTTTCGGCTGACCTGAACTGCCTCCTGGCAGCTCATGCTGAGCCTACATAACACATCCCTTAATCTGCCTTAGTTAGGCACACTTCTAAGCGGCTTTTCGGCACTTACGCCCTCCTTTCTCCCAAGGATGGTCGCGTTCGTATACGGCTTAGAGATCTCTTTTCAGATCAGTAAGCCAATCCTTAAAGGTGGGGTTTGATGGGTAAAAGTCTCCACATAACCACGCAGCTGGCTGCGTGGTATGCTATGAGCATTCCCCACATCCCTCCCCCGCTTTCCAGAGAGTTGCCCATATTTGCTTCGGGCGCAAAAAAAAAAGAGCGCTAGCTTCATACAATATTTGGCTGTTGATGAGAATAGACGTTCAGAGTGTTGGACCTTATTGACTGACAATATAAATAATGATTTTAACAAACCATGCTTATCAGCGCGCCTTTTAGTCTACTCTTACGTTTAATAATTTATTTTTAAATTTCCTTTGTTGTTATTTTATAAAATAGGTATTAGTTATTTTGGTAGTGTTTAAATTTTTCTTAGTATTAGCTTAATTATAAATTAAACTTTTTTTTATTTACCTGTAGTTTTAAATAGGTACCTAGGTATCAAATAAGTTATATCATTCTATTAGACTTAGTTTAGGTACCTACTTATATATTTTTAAGAATTTAATTTTGGATTTAAGGATTTATTTAGGATCCATTTTGTTATTTAAGTAGGCATTTAGATTTTATTAAGTGTATGGTAGCTATAGTTAGAACCTCTAACGTAGATTATTTTATGCAATCGTAGGTAACTGAATGCCGTCGATTAAAAATAAAATACACAATGCCACCTAAAAAACGATTATCTTTATCTCGAAATTCGAGAGAAGCTAAGAGGATGAAAAATGTGCGTTCTCAAGAATCGGCAGAGGAAAGAGCATATCGGTTAAACTCTATGAGAGTTAGTGCCTTAACTTCTCGAGCCAATGAAAGTTCTCTAGAAAGAGAGATGCGATTAGCAGCTGTTAGAGCGAGACGAGCTACATCACGGGCGTCTCAAAGTTCTTCTCAACGAGAGCTAAGGCTTACCATTGACCGAGAACAACATGTGTTATCCCGAGAAGCTGAAACTGCTTCACAACGAGAATTACGGCTCACAGCTGACCGCGAACGGCATACATTATCTCGCGAGTCCGAAACCTACACTGAGAGGGAATTACGTCTCGTAGCTGATCGCGAACGTAATATTGTATCTCGAAAATCTGAAACTTTTACTCAATATGAAGACCGTTTGACAAATGATAGGGTGCACCGTAATATTATTCGATCTCTTGAAGATGAACATGAGCAGGAACAACGACTAGAGTCGGGACGCGAATATTACAATTCTTTGAGACAAGAACGATTAATAAGTTTGTCCAATGAAAGATTAAGTATTGAAAATATTCGGTCTCTTGAAACGGACGAACAGCGAGAGCTCCGTTTTACTGCAGATAGATTTCGACACAGTCTTAATGATTTAGATGACATAGAAGATCAATCTACAAATTCTGTGGCGTGGTCCGACAAATAAAAAAGTGGGTTTGCCTATAACCTCACAATTGATTACAGATCATCTTCTGTAATAGGCGATATGAACGTGGTATGTTCTTTTTGTAATGCTTCAAAGTGGAGGAAGGAGTCGGCTGGTTTCTGTTGTTCTGGAGGTAAAATAAATTTGCCTTCGTTCGAAGATCCACAGGAACCTTTGAAGTCACTACTTTTAGTGTGCATGTACATGTGCAATTTAAACAGTTCTTAGACTTAGGCATAAGCAACAACATCCACGTACGAAGTCGCGGGCAGAAGCTAGTTAGTTAATAAATTTAAAAGAGTATAGTTTTTTTTTAAACTAAATGAGAGCCAAAAATTAAAAATTCCGTTCACAGTAGCAATAAAAGACAACGGAAACAGTTACTGAATGGACCTAATTCCTTGTCCGTATATTGGTAATAAAAGCGCAGTTTTAATATTGCAGGAATTAAGCGAAAAACTCTATTAAACTCTATCAAACAGAATTTCCTTTATGGATTTGCTGAGAGTATTCCGTAGAATTTAACAGTAAAAAAGATTTTTTAAAACCCTTGTTTTAAATAATCTTTTTTACTGTTAAATTCTGAAAATGTTACTGTCCTTACAAGCAATGGGATAGATAGTTATCCGTATTGTCATATTTTTCAAAACCTAAACTACTATGAATATAAATGTAATACAAAAAACATAAAAAATTACATTATTCATACATTAATTTTTCTTTTTCTTTAAAAAGCTGAACCCAACGGTTGTCGGTTCTTCAGCATAATTATCTATTTACGTCAGTTGCGTACAGTTATGTTATATTGTGGATATCCTCATTTAGAAGTCTATCACGCAGAGAAATTCAGAGCATATAATATATAACATTGTTTTCAAGTTTTGAGGTACATGTGATGATAATTCGTGTTTTGCTTTGCCGAGTAAAATCCGTCGATGGACGTCTTAGTCGAAGATGAACTTACCTGGTTTGACTATTTGTTTTAGGCATATATATATATATATATATATATATATATATATATATATATATATATATATATATACCCTCATATATACCTATACTCTCTAATATGTATGTAATAACAATAATCTTAAATAATAGTAATAAATAATCTTTTAAACTCAAAGCGTAAGTTACCGCTTCTAACATACACTAGTTATGTGCACTAACATTGCAACTAATACAATAACTCGCTTAATTAAAGTAATTACATCTTGTAGAACTGATTGAGTATTATTGTCAAACTACATGACATTTTACTATTATTTAGAATTAATTATAAGTATTAATCTACAAACGTAAACGTAAAAAAAATAAATCGCTAGAATGAAACAACCTTTTCTTTACAACATTCTTGTTATTTCTAACACCAATTAGTAAAGATTTAAAGAGTGAATGCGATATACCTATGGACGGTATTATCATAATATTATATAATAGAACTCAGAGACTAAGCAAAAATTACAAGAACTTAAAAGTCAATCAATAGTTATAATTATATCAATACGTTAAAGGTAGAATAATGTCAATACTTAAAAAGGGGCACAAGTTGTTGTGCCCCTTTTTAAGAATATAACGCGCACTGAAGAGCTTTTTTGGCAGAAAGAAGGCGTTGGCGTCAAGGCGACCACGCGAAAAAATGCACCTCCATTCATCAAATAGTATAGGTCTATAACACCTCTTCAAATCTTGAATTTGCTTGTTCAAAAACACGATTGTATAATTTTGACTCCGTCATAATTATTTTCGAAAACACCTCTAAAAAATCACTATAGCTGAAAGGACAAAACGAAATTACTTATTTTATATGTACGGGAATCACTGAAATATATTCATAACATCAATATTTATAAATTATTTGCTCATTATACTTAAATAATTTAAAATATTTTAAGATTACCATATCAGTGTCTCGACGGGCGCTACAATTTTAGACCGTATGACGGTGTTTTTGAGGTTTTTGTAGAAATTATGTATTCACTCGAATCAGTACGGTGATAGCCTGAAACCACTTTTTCGATGTGTCTTCTTAAAGTTTATATGGAGAAATAGTGCATTAAGCTGCAATTTATGTATAATATGTGTTAGAAATATGTACCTTAAGTGAAATTAAACTAAAAATGCATTCCTTACGTTTATACTGTCAATATCTCAGACTACCTACAATGTATGTTAATGTCAAACACTTATTACTCTGTGGTCAAACAGTCACGCAGTGTAGATATTGGCGTTCCAGGAATTTAAAAATGTCGCGAACAAATAATAAATATATAATATCAAGGCTAAATACGTTTATATCCGTGTTATATATTAACGTGTAGTTGAAAGTAAAATACAGTTTGCTTAATATAAAAATCTAAAAATTTAATTAATGATTTTGATGGTAGATTAATACTTATAATTAATTCTAAATAATAGTAAAATTTCATGTAGTTTGACAATAATACTCAATCAATTCTACAAGACGATATAATTATAACTTAATTATAAACTTAATTAAGCGAGTTATTGGATTAGTTTGCAATGTTAGTGCACATAACTAGTGTATGTTAGAAGTGGTAAACTTACCGCCTTTGAGTTTTAAAAAGATTATTTATTACTATTATTTAAGATTATTGTTATTACATACATATTAGAGAGTATAGGTATATATGAGGGTATATATATATACCTACATGTGCCTATGTGTGCTCACAGTGAACAGATTTTACATACACGTAATCTAAGATAATTAAATTAGAAGAACAAATCGAAGAACCCAAGTTAGGAAGTTTAGTAAAAATGATTCAAACAGATTACGCTTTTGTTTTCGTTTGCCAAATAGTTCCCACTACTTAGATTTTGCATTACTAATAAATTTTTCGTAAAACCTTCCTCTCCATCTTTATTAGCCCTAAAAATCTAATGATGAACATAGGTCTCTCCCACTATAGACAGGATTTGCGTTAATCATCACTCTGTGAGCAATGAACAGGCGGATTGAAATTCTCATCTCGCACTCTTAATGCATCTACCCGTCACCGGTTAGGTTTTCACCAAGATAGATTTCATAGTTTCCGTTATTTATCGGAAACTACGAAATTTCGCCTTTAAGACATCCACTCAAAGCCATCTCATGACTTTTCTTTTGAATAGCATTATTTTATTTGCTCTTGTGATATCTAATTGAATGATAGTATTCGTTTCACTATGCTTTTAAGCAAATCTGCATTTTTGACTGTAAAACTCTTCCGAGATCTTTACAGATCATCGCAATGGATTGGAATCAAGTGGTTATTTATATATCGTGAGGTGGTAGCGTAACAATATCCACCTACACCACATCATCTCATGGGTGTCGTATGAGTAGTTGTTGACTGGAATGTTGGTCTAGTGGCATCTAGCATGACTGCTGATCACGAGGTCCGGGTTTAGAATCCTGGATCGAGTCAAAATAATGTAGTGTAGCCCCCATGACAGTATATATTAATGTAAATTGTAGCTGTTAAGTCGGAGTATAATTAAAGTTTTCAACAACACGTCTTCTTCATTGACACCTTTCCAACACCTTTCCATGGTGACCCTGACAGGCGGTACGCTGCGAAAATGCACCCTCACCGCCGGGCCTGGTTTAAGGGTGTAAAAAATAAAGTAAAAAGTAAAATTTAAAGTATTTTCAAATTAAATTATGAAGACAAATTAAAGAGTGAAATAATCGACAGATAACATAATGAATTGGACGCAATACTGGACGTGACGAGAAAATAAAAATATAAGAAAAGGTGACAATATTACAAAATTTTAAAGAAAATTAAAGAAAATATTTAATAAACTGATGAAGATCAACTTAAAAAGCCAAATATTATGAAAATTTTAAAGATAGTTTGAAGATTAGAATATTTAATGGTGATAATTATGAGAAGTAAAACAAAGAAAGAATCGGCCTTTGATTATATAGACAGGTATATAATCAAAGGAAACAGCAGTTGTACTTCTCCGAGATTAGTCTAGAAGAATATGAAAATTGAGCTAAAATGAACAAATACGTAATTAAGAGGTAACATCGCATTAGTGTAAAGTTTAATTTTATTTAAAACTTCATCAGTTTGATTTTTTAATATTGTTTTTGATATTATATTTTTAAATGTTATTTATTAAATATAATGTGTTTAACTTATGATTCACGATACTTCAAAATTCAATTGATATTTTAATATATTTATTACATACTGTATCTGAAAAAAAAACTAATTATGCAAAAATTATAAATTAAGTTACATTTTATTTTTATTATTGTGTCCTTCTAAATATGAATGAAATAATTGAACACTAAATAGATTACATTTTTACGTTCTTAATTTCACCATAATTTATAGTTAAATAACACTGTGATACAATTCGTTATTTTTTTTCCTTGAATTTAAATTTTAAAAGTGGTTATCAACAATTCACTATCATTATAGGTTTTAGTTAAAACCAGCCTATCATACTTCTAGCAATCTTTCTCGATCTACGTAAAAGTAATATAAATATTAACAATGTAACTATTTATTAACATATTAAAAATTAAAAAAAATTAAGACTTGTATTCATATTATAACATATTGTACAAGTTTTCTTAAAATTAGTTGTAAATCATACGTGTTATTATAGTTCGATGTGAATTTTAAACAAAGGTGTCTCTAATTTCTTTCGCTGCTAGGATTACAATTTGTATTTTGATCTCTGTGTTGCTATGTCAATGATAATGATTAGGTTGCTATTGACTTCCTTCTTCTATCATTTTAATACGAAATGTAATAATTTATTTTCGGTTTTATAATGTCTGAAATTTTAAAAGTCATCTTTTATCTATTATAATTTATTATTTTCTAGGAAAATAGAACCTACTTGTCTGGATTATGAAACTATTTTCTTCGCCTTATACGATTTTGAAACTCATTACACAATGTATACAATTAATTATTCAAATTTTGTTGTGCCCATATCTCAAACCCTGACTGACAATGATGTAACGA